CTTCATGCAGGAGCCTCAGCAGAGAAAAAGTGTAGTGGCCTTTCCCCTCTCCCACAGTTACTCCTAAAACAAAGACTATGTGAACACTTACATGTTCAAAGACTCACTCTAGGAGGTGCACATGCTGCATTAATGGTAACTTCCACAATAACCCTACAAGGAAGGCATCCTCATTTCCATTTTACAAGCCTGAAGTTTAAATGTTACGTTTCAAAGACCTTTCAACCAGTAAGTGGCAAAGGCAGGATGTCAATCCAGGCGGATCCAGATGATTCCAAATACCATCCTTTTCTCACTAATCAATAACAGGTCTTAAACAGATTTTCACTTCCTTAAAAAATCATTATGTTTCAGCTATTACAAGGAATAAAGGACAAGATATAATATTCAGGATGAACCTTGGAACATTGTGCTACAGGAAAGCAACCAGACACAAAATGTCACATATGGTATAATTCTATTAACATAAAACACTGGAACAGATAAATCCACAGAAGCAGAAAGCAAGACAGTGATTGCCAGGGAGGCAGTAAAGAACGGGGAATGACTCTAAACAGGTACAGGATTTCCTTCTGAGCTGACAAAAATATTTTGGAGTTAGATGGAAGTGAAGACCGCACAGGACTATGGAAGTACTAAGTGCCAATGAATTGGACACTTCCAAATGGTTTATGTGATATGAATTTAACTTCAAAAAAAATTAATACCTACAATAAGGCAAGAGGATACAACAGTTTCCTTTGTCCTAGTTAGTACCGCACATGATTTTGTACTCCATCTTCCTTTGAAACAGCTCTATGGAGGCCAAAACGTTTTACCTCAAGTAATAGCAGGTAAAGGAGACAGTCAGATCATGCCTAGGACCACCAAAGAGAATGCTACAGTCAACTGGACCAATCTGCCATCTGTGAAGAATTAGAGTGCCAGTCCCAAGGCACTCATAGAATCACTGCCTGTCCCCATGTTGTTGTTGTCAAGTGCCATCGAGTCGATTTCCAACCCATAGCGACCCTGTATAGGGTTTCCAAGGAGTAGCTGGTGAGCTTGAACTGCCAACCTTGCAGCCTGTCCCCATAGGGTCAGTGAAAATCATGTCAAGGGTCATATAGATGATTATATATATGTTGTTGTTAAGTGCCATGGAGTCGGTTCCGACTCATAGCGACCCTGTACAGGGTTTCCAAGGCTGTATATCTTTATGGGAGCAGAACGCCTCATCTTTCTCCTGCAGAACAGCTGGTAGTTTCGAACTGCTGACCTTGCGGTTCACAGCCCGACTTGTAACCACTACGCTACCAGAGCTCTTTATATATACACATCAGCCTGAAGCACTGCAACTGAAGATTCAGCTTTCCATATAATATTTATTTAGCTTTCCATATAACATTTACCAATACAGAAAAGTAAACATACCAGAAATATTTTCAGCAACACTTAAAAGACGCAAAACCTTTAATCAACCAAAAATTTAACTTAATGAAACTCTTCTACATCCAAACTAACAAGACATTAACGAAGAAAAACAAGGTAAGAAGATCTGTTCTATTGAAAGCAAATTTTAGTATGTTGTTGTTAAATGCTGTCGAGTCGGTTCCAACTCATAGCAACCAAAATGGACATCAGAAGAGACTCTGAAACTTGCTCTTCAGTGCAGAGATGCCAAAGCAAATGGAAGAAATGAGGAGGCAGAAGAGCTGACTATAAAAGCTTCAAAGGTTAGCTTAAGAAGGCAAAGTCAAATATTACAATGAAATATGCAAAGACCTGGAGTTAGAAAACCAAAAGGGAAGAACATGCTCAGAATTTCTTAAGCTGAAGGAAGCGAAGAAAAAATTTGAACCTTGACTTGCAATACTGAAGGATTCTACTGGCAAATTACTGAACGATGCAGAAAGCATCAAAAGATGATGGAAGGAATTTGAGTCATTGTATCAAAAAGAAATCGTCGATGTTCAACCATTTTAAGAGGTAGCATATGATCAAGAGCCAATGATACTGAAGGAAGAAATCCAAAGTGCACTGAAGGCATTGGCAAAGAACAAGTTACCGAGAATACAAATTGAAATCTTTCAACAAATTGGTGCAGCACTGGAGGCACTCACTTATCTATGCCAAGATTTTGGAAGACAACTACCTGGCCAATTGAGTGGAAGAGACCCATATTTGTGTACATTCCAAAGAGTGGTGACCCAATGGAATGTGGAAATCATCAGACAATAAATATCATAAGCAAGTAAAATTCTGCTAAAGACAATACAAAAACAGCTGCAACTATACATTGACAAAGGAAGAAATTCAAGAAGTTCAACACAGATTCAGAAGAGGATGTGGAATGAGGGATATCATTGCTGATGTCAGATGGATCTTGACTGAAAGCAGAGAATACCAGAAAGATGTTTACCTATGCTTTATTGACTAACCAAAGGCTTTCAATTCTGTTCATCATGACAAACTATGGACAACATTGTGAAGAATGAATATTCTGGAACATTTAATTGTGCTCATGAGGAACCTGTACATAGACCAAGAGGGAGTTTTCAAACAGAACAAGGAAACACCGAATGGTTTAAAACTAGGAAAGATGTGCAGCAGGGTTGTATTTTCTCACCATAGTTAATTCAATCTGTATGCTGAACAAATAATTAGAGAAGCCGGATTATATAAAGAAAAATACGGCATCAGGATTGGAGGAAGACTCATTAACAACCTGCGATATGCAGATGATACAACCTTGCTTGCTGAAACTTGAGGACTTAAAATATTTATTGATGAATATCAAACATCACAGCCTTCAGTATGGGTTGTATGCACTTCAACGTAAAGAAAACAAAAATCCTCACCACTGGACAAGTAAATAACATCCATATAAATGGAAAAAAAATTGATGCTGTCAAAGACTTCATTTTGCCCAAATCAACCATCAACACTCAAGGAAGCAGCAATCAAGAAATCAAAAAACGTGTTGTATTAGGTAAATCTGCTGCACAAGACCTCTTTAAAGTGTTCAACAGCAAAGATGTCAGTTTGAGGACTAAAGGTGTGCCTGACCCAAGCCATGGTATTTTCAGTAGCCTCATATGCAAGTGAAAGTTGGACAGTGAATAAGGAAGACTGTAGAAGAACTGATGCATTTGAGTTATGGTGTTGGAGGGGAGTATTGAAAGTACTATAGACTGCCAAAAGAACGAATAGATATGTATTGGAAGAAGCACAGCCAAAGTGATCCTTGGTAACCAGGATGCTCAGACTTCATCTCTCATATTTTGAACAGACTGTCAGGAGGGACCAGTCCCTGGAGAAGGATATCATGTTTGGCAAAACAGAGGGTCAGAGTGAAAGAGGAAGACCCCCAACAAGATGCATTGGCACAGTGGTAGCAAAAATGGGCTGAAAAATAGACATAGCAACGATTGTGAGGTTGGTGCGGGACCAGGCATTGTTTTGTTCTGTTGTGCATAGGGTCAGTATGAAGTCAGTCCTGACTCGATGGCACCTTATAACAACAACATAAGGTTTCCAAGAAGAGGATGATGAGTCTGAACAGATGAACTTGAGGTTCAAATGACCTTGTAGTCTAGTGCTTATCCTACAGTGCCACATCAAGGATTCCAATTTTTAATATACAATTATATTAAGACAGTGTAGTATTAAATCAAAGATAAAGCAAACAAAGGTACAAAACAACAGAGTGCCCTGAAATATTCCCTTAAATATCAACATTTAATTTCTGAGAAGGTAGTACAGGAGACCAGTGTGGAGAGGATGGGACAATTGTATAGACCATGTTGTTGTTGCTGTTAAGTACCATGGAGTCGGTTCCAACTCATAGTGACCTGGTATAGGGTTTGCAAGAAGCTGCTCGTGGATTTGAACTGCTGATCCTCTGGTTAGCAGTCCAGTGCTTATCCTCCAGTGCCACACCAGCACTCCAGGCTAAAGGATAGACACATACTAACAAGGATGACAGGACAGGCAATATACAACAAGAGGGGAGTTGGCAGAGGAATGATGAAGGTAGTGGGAGACACTGGGAGGAATGCAAGAGTTACAGTGAATAGAGGTAAGCACTGTTAACTGATGGTACATGAAGGAGACTGAAATCATTGTAATGAAACAAAGTACATGAGTTATGAACTAGAAGACTGATGATCTGCTCTGTAAACAAACCTTCACTCAACTGACAATAAAGTTTTAAAAAATAAACAACAGCTTCACATTTTGATAATTTTGTTTAATACGGGTTTCTATGATTTCATAGCAAAAAAGACACAAAGAAACACAAACACATTTGTACCAAAGACATGTATAAGAATGTTCATAATAGCAAAATTAGCAATATCTAGGAAGCAACCCAAATGTGTAACTATAATGTTTAGATTTAGAGAGCATACTTAAGTGGTAAAATTATAAAAAAAAAGAAAAAAGGAAAAAAGCCAATACTACAAAGAATGGTGATAATCTTTTTTTGAGGGAAGGGAGAGAGCATTAAAATATTCGTGATGTTCTTTTTCTTGAGGTCATTTGCTGATTTGTACATTTATGCTTTACCCTACTTTCCCATGTTTATGTTATACTTCACAGATGGGGGAAATTTTCTAATTCACCAATTTCTAATCTCAGCTATGGTGCCAGTGTCAGCTGCTAGTTGCACAGTATTAGTAAAATTACTTGTCAGTTTCCAGTCACTAACTTGAAAAGGCAGGGTTTTTTTCCTATATTGTGCTATATTGAACACACAAATTAAATGATATCAAATTATTCTGAAAACTTAAAATATTAAATGCCAAGTATCTCTAATTAAGGTTCTAAAAACACGCATAAATACACACACACACTTTATAGAAGTATAGCTACTATTTGAAATAACTACTATGTTATTAATAAAAATACTAAGAATTAAATAATTGACCTGAAAAATAAATTATATTTTATTATCAACAATAGTATTACATTTTAGATTAATAAGTTTTCTGTGAGGTATTAGAAAATTTCAAACTTACCTCTCTATTGGGTGTACCTTCATCAAGTTGCTCGGTAAATGAAGATGTCCTGCTTCTGCTTCTTGTTGGTGTTGAAGAATTGGAGGATGCCTACATTAAAAAAATCATTGTACAGATCAGAAAGGCTACATTAACTGTACAAGGTACTGCACTATGCACTGGGTCGTCGTTCTTTCAGTCCATGCCCAAAGAAGCCCATGAAAGAAAGGCAAAGAGCTAACATATGAGAAGCAAAATGAATACCATATCATCAACTAGAAGACCCAGGCTATCTACTGGATACTCAACCTGACTCTGCCACCAACTAAAACCACAGTCTTAGCTAAAGTTAGCTTTTTTAGGGCTATGTGTTCTCAAAAGATGATAAAATTATGGGAAACTGGACACTTAGTGAGGAATATATGGAATCTCTTTGAATTATCTTTATAATTGCTCTGTAAATCAAAATGACTCCGAAATTAAAAGCTTACAAGGAGGCTTCAAAAAGTTTATGGAAAAATTCCATTGTTTTCACATGGATTGGCAACCACGCACGTCACTCATATGGGGAAATGACCAAAGAACACCAATGAAGTAGCCAGCTAACCCCTATATCGTCCAGCAGACTACTGTGAACCCGGGCGGAGACCTGGTCGGCCAGCAGCGAGGCAGGTCCTGGGGACTCATGGGCTCAGAGTCAAGGACACAACCACAGAGGACTAGAGTAGTGAGCGAAGCATCCAGCTAATAAGAAGAGGGCAGATAGACGCAAGAACACCCACACCTGCAGATGATACCCACTTGACCTGGCTTCAATAACTGGATGAACAAAACTCAACACCAAGAAGAAAGAAGAGGAAAAAGGCATCATCTGATACAATTTGACAAACCTGACCTACACCCATAAATGCAGTAGCACAAAAGAGGAAACAAATCCCTGCTGCAAGAATTATTCCCACCCCCTCCACACAAAGAATGGACAGAGATGGGCAACTTGGACATTGGTTACCTAAAATGGGGGGAGGGATTCAAAGG